TTTTATACAAAAATTTTTATTTTTAATATTAAACGCCAAAATTAAAAAAAAAACAGGTCTGTTCCTTTCGTTTTTTAGAAATGCATTTATACATTCCAAATAATATTTATAGAAAGTTTCGTTGGTCATTTGGATTATTGATACTTTTTTCACAATAAAATAAATAACTGAACCCAGTTTTGACAACATATCATGCTATTTTTACATCTTCAGTGACCATTGACCCTCGGATGTCATACTAGTAATAGTTATTCCCCAATAAAATCATACAAGTGTGCAAAAGGAAAACTATCGCTTACTTTGTAAACTTGATTATTGTTAACTTGTTCATGAATATAAATCGTTTTTTATTTTGCCAATGCAATTTATTTTCTAGCTAAACCAACTATCGCGTTTTATGTCGGATTATCCCATCATGTTACAGTCACTAGTCATACCAAAGTCATATTTGATCGAGTGTTCTTTGACTTTAACTCTGTGTACGACAAAAGGACCGGAGAATTCCTTGCTCCTATTGGCGGTCTCTACGAGTTCAACTTTCACGCTCTTGGGAAGCGAGATGGGAAAATTTGGCTTGAGCTTTTCCATAACTACAGGTTTGAGATGTTTTATGCAGTAAAGATGGCTAAATATTGTCATACAATGACAGCAAGGCAGCACAAATGTTAGAATTTTTTTTTATGTTTTATGAATCAGAAGAGCAGCAGAGAAACGTAGTGTCTTCATCAGGGTGAGCTTTTAGGATCGTTGAATGTCCGTCGTCCGTCCACATTAGCATCCGAGATAACTTTTATTCTAACTCATCCGAACAATGACCTTGACAAGCATCCTGACAAAGTTTGATGATAATTGAGTCAAAATGTGACCACTAGGGTGTTAACAAGTGTCAAAGTAATTGCTCGGATGAGTTTGAACATTGGTCATCTCAAATGAAAAACTAGGTCACAGGAGCTAAAAATAGTAACATCTTGTTAACACTGTAGTGGCTTCTATTTTGATCAAAATATCCTGGAAATTGGTCTGAACGTTTGTTTTGATGATTTCTAGGTCATGTACGAACATGGGTAACCTAGTGTCAAAACTAGGTCACCTTAACCAAATGAGTAAAAACCTTGTTAACACTCTAGTGGTCACATCTTTGACTCAATTGTCATCAAACTGACTTGAAAATTGGACCAGAAATGCACTGACTAATGCCAAAGTGAATTTTAATATTAACTGATATTACCGATGCAAAATCGTATTTTGATATTGACTGACCTACTTCACTTGTTTGGTATCACTTGACCTAATGTTTTGGTATTTGACGTACTGATTGGAAATTTGAACCATGGGTTTAATTTCTGAAGATAAATAGAATTTTGGTATCAGCTGACCTATTTTTGATATTATTGATATAATTTGACCTACTTTCTTGCCCTTTTATGTACATATATTGCATTTGGACAAAGGGTGTAATTTCTGATTCCGAGTTGAATTTTGATATTATATGATCTTCTTTTGATATTTTGATATCATTTGACCTACTTTCTTGTTTTTTTTTTGTTTTTTTGACATACTGATTTGAGATTTGGACCAAGTTTTTATTTTTTGATACATTTTGATAAAGATCCAATCAAGAAACTTGTCTGAAAAATGTTTTATGTTTATATATTTTATGATAGATCTAGTTTAAGACAAGGTGGATTTCTACCCTACGTGCATGATTTATAAAAAAGAAGACTTATAGACAATGATATATGCCAAATACAGAAGCATAGTACATTATTTATCTACAAAATATACTATGTATTTTCCTACATAGGCTACATAAAGCAAGCGACACCCGGGGCCGAGCCAAGCTTGACCTAAGGGTCATGATTAATATAACTTTTGAAAAAAATCTACAAATCGATGCTACATGACACATATCTAAGCTCTTGGATTTGCGTTAAAAAATCAAACTTAAATTCGTTTTTGAAATATACGTTTTCCTATATAAATCAAGTGGCCCTATAAAAGTCCAAATGTTGTTCTGTTCATTGCCTCTTTTTTATTATTATTTCTGCTAAAATGATTTAATTTCATTATATAGGTTCAAACGATACAGAGCAGAAACGAACTCTTTAATAAATTGGTACAAAATGACCTTGAACTTGACCTGAACAAGGTCAAACGGTCAAACCTGCGCTATTTACATCATTTCCGTATGGTTAACATGTCTGCCAAGTAATTTAAATTTCCTTCCACTGGTAAAAGAGGTAGAGACCGGATACAAAAAAACTACTTACAGACGGATGAACAACCAGTTGCATATAAATGCACATTTCTACCATACAGTAACCATGATAAGACACTATGTTTCGTCGAATATTTTAAACGCCTTGTTTTAAGATTATACTATTAAACGTTTTAATTTTTAATTCTAGGTACGTTGATTCACTGTACAGCCATACACCTGGCCACTATGCAACAGGTGGTAATGCGGCAGTGTTAGAATTTGACGCTGGTGACGTTGTTTACGTCAACGCCAATGGTGACGTAAACCTTTACGGCGTTCATGACCAAATCTACTGCACTTTCACTCACCGGGTACTTGCTGTTTGCTACTTCTGAGTCGGTAGCAATTGTAGGATAAAATGTTTAATTTCGTTTGTCATATCAGTATCTTTGGATTAAAGCACACGGAAACTGACATAATAAAGACTAAAGTGTAAGATTTATATATCTCTTAAGCTCATCTCGAGCATAATGTGTTTAGATGGCCCTTGTCCGTCACATGTTTTTGACACTTGCTTTAAACAAGCAATTTCTTTAACTAACTGGCCAGTTGTGATGAAACTTCAAAAGAATGATTTTGAGTTGATTCATTTATTACAAATGTTTTTAAAATATTTCCGGTCTGCATTTTCTCACCAATCATTGTCTTTCATGAGACGCATTAAGAATGATCCTCTGTTTGGTCTTAACAGCTTATTGGCACATAACTAGCATGTTCTAGCATGTTCTTCGATTTATCATGAAACACATAAAACTGTCAAAATTACAAAATAATCTACCATTAAATAACGAATTTTGTAGAAAGGGCCATTTCTATTTAAAGAAATAAATTTAGAATTTTTTAATGGCGGCCATTTTGTCTTTCAGCTTGACATAATTTCCTTTGATAATATATGCAACAGATTGAAATGAAATAAGACTCCTACCTTTAAACATCCAAAAATATTCCTATGAATCACATAAAATTTACTGCACTTTGTAGTACCGTATGGTACTGGTTACAGGAGTTGATCGGAAGTTAACGGGGAAAGGTTCCCGGAAACGAACCCCCGGAACTTAGTGTTGTTAGGGCTGACCAGTTGGGGGGCCATATTAGTGTAATAAATTAATAAGAAGAATTAGGCAATTCCTAGCTTGGCACGATCCAGAGTGGAAGGTAATCATTGTTTGTATTTCAATCCCTTTATAATCAATCCGCGACAGTTCTATATTGGTGGCAGCGAATTCCGTTCCGAAAGATAGACGCTACCAAAGGTCCATAATTTTACCGATTGTGTACGAATTTGCCCTCAAAATTCTGCACTCATAGAACGAAGTCTACCGGAATTCTTGGTTTTGTTCATAGTGGGCCAAATCTGCTTGAACGATTTAAACCAGAATTTCTACGTAAATAATCGTAGTTAAGCGGGGGAATTTGCCATCAAATTCCGCTTAGGTTTAGACGTTGCCTGGAAGGACCAAATTCTTTGGAATTTGTTTATTTTTCGGATCTCCTTTTTTTCGTTCTGCTGCCACTGGTACAGTAACTGTATATTTTGAATAAACTCCATTTAGCCCTATTGCCATTATAAAGGGGGAGAAGATAGATATTGAGATTTATTTAGTTAAAACACATTTTAAACTTGAAAATTTCTCCGTATCTTTCGTTGTTATGGAGAATATCAATATAAAGGGAAAGTACGAGATATTTTCTCAGGAAGCAGAGGTTGTGCAACCACCCTTGGTTGCCATTAACTTTGCGTCTGAGGTAAGGCTACAGGCAATACCTAATGTGGGTGCAAGCCTAGCCAAGGCGCTCATTGCAGTGAGGGAGTGCTCTGGTAATATAACCAGGGAGATTTTAGAGTCCATCTGTCGTCGCAGGTTCTCCCCTGAGATACTGCTATGATAAGACTTTAGACAGAATATGTCTCTGTCAGTTAAGAATACTGACAAGCTAGGCCAATCTAGCTTGGAGGTAGACACAGACGAGGACGAGGAGGAAGATATTCAGCCAAGTGCGCCTGATTGGTTGGAAATGGTGAAGGTGGTGAAAGCGGCAAACCAATGTTCTGGCCGCTCACAAGCAGCAACAAACTGTCATCTGTTTGCACCTTTGCAACAGATGACAAGGTTTTTCCACATAAAAATTCTGAAGTTGATGACTCCTGCGGATTTTCTGCCAAAAGTCAAAATCCACACACCCCCCTACCTTACCACTTCCAGACGTATACCACCCCTAAACGTACCATATGTTTTGACTAGGTAGTGGAATAGTGATTGCAGTGATGACTCTATGTTTTGCCAGGGCACCATTTGCCCATAGGCAGTCTAGGGTTCGTAAAACCGGATATCTGCCTTTCCCCGAAACACCTTATCATATGATTGGTAAGAGTACTCTGGGAACCGTTCTTTTTAAAAGTTCACTCGCTATGTCCAACAGGCGAGTGGGACTGATGAAGAACAAGTTAGCTGCCTTGTCTGCTGTTTAGATGGTAAAGCGCTAGAGTATTATGCGCTTGTCTTGTGAACAAGAAGGTCAGCTTACCTACAAGAGGCTGGTTAGCAAGTTGGCTGCCCGATTTGGGCAAACATGAGTTGCCAGCTGCTGCACAGGTAAGTTTTCAGAATGGCAGCACAAGAGACAACCGAGTCCCCTAGATGAGTGGGCTGACCGAGTGCTCACTCTAGGTTATTAGAGCTTTTAAGAAGCTGCCAGAGGAGTTTGTCACTGTCCAAACAGTGAACAGATTCTGTCAGGTTGACAAAGAGGCCGGTCACCATGTTTGCATGCAGCAACCAGAGTCTGTGCATGCAGCCATACAAATGGTACGCCAGTACCAGCAGGTGTATGCAGCCATGTATGGGTGACCGGAAGAAACCGGAAAAGGTTTTTGCTGTTGCATCCCAGCCATCACGGGAGCAGCAGGCAGAGCCTATGTCAACCAATGATTTAAGCAAAGCCTTAAATGACCTGGAAGCAAAGGACTGACAAAAACCTTTTTGTCAGAATTGTCCCAACCCCAGATCAACCGGATGCTACAATTGTGGCGAAATAGGGCATTTTCAAAGAAATTGCCCAAAGCTTAACGACAACCAGAAGTCGTTAAACTAGGAAGGGATGGTGAAAAAGTAGGTCGTTTCCCGTCCCTGTCTGCAGACAAGACCTGCAAAATAAAAAAATCCCGGTTGGCTGCCAATTTCAGCCAAATAGGCACGGGGGGAGTTGAACCAGACCCTATTGTTGTCTATCATGTCAATTCCTCTTCCCAGTTTACCATGGGGTCCAAGTAGGGGGATGGGCAAGTAACATACTCGCCAAGTGGTAGATACTTGCTTCCCCATGACCATTTCATTTCTTGAATAAGGTCTACAATTTCCCTGAAGCAACAAAGCCCCCCAAAGAAAGGGATGTCAAAACTAAGCGGCTGGCAGGGAATTGTTCTATTGGCAGCCTCTGTAGCCGGTTTCCGGTTAAAGTTGAAGGTTGGTCACCAGTCTGGGTACCAGGTCAATGTTGTTTGCCCCCATTGAGCAACAAACATGCTGTTTGGGCTTTGATTTGCTTCGGGGACCCTGGCAAATCTTGTGTGGACATGAGCAAAGCAGAGCTCTTACTTGATGGTATGCGCGATCTCCCTAGATGTTCATTCATCCGATAGTTCCTGTGGATCCAAGGTCAACGGTGTGGCTAAGAGACAAGTTTTCCCTCCACACTCTGTGGCGAGAGTCCAATGCAGGTTACACTCTCCCCTGCATAGCTATATCGTGGAACCAGTGAACCAGAAAAAAAATCTGGCTCCCCAGTGTTACATGAAGGCACTAACACCCCTGTGTTGTGTCTTGTTAATCCATCAGATAGACTACCGCCTTGTCAGGAGGGGAACAGAGATAGGAGGGCGATATGCCTTCAGTGAAGTTGTCAGGAATGAGTGTGATGTTGAAACATCTTGCCCAGCAAAAGTGTTTGAAACATCAGGTGAGGTTGGTCCAATTACCACCACACCTGCAGGAGGTCTATGACACCTTTTTGGCAGGCCTTGATGAAGGTCAGCGGATTCAATTAGCGCAATTGCTGATTGAGTTCCAAGATGTCTTCTCAAGGGTGAACTTGACCTTGGTGTCATTCACTGATAAGGAACGTGATATAGATACCAAGGAGGACAAAGCTTGTGAAGCAAGGTATAAGGCGAAAGCCAACATGTTTTGCAGGGGAGAAGAGGCCCAGCCTCAGGGAATTGCTGAAGGCTGGGGGTGTAACAAGATGCCACATCCCAAATGGGCATCTGCTCCAGTTTTTTATTAGGGAAACATGACGGCTCTGTGGGGTTATTCATAGACTATAGACGTTGAATAAGGTTACAGTCAAAGACGTGTATCCTTTGCCTTTAGTCGATGATTGCAGGACACATTTGCTGGCAGTGTTTGGTTTTCAAAATTGGATGCCAACTCCGCATTCTTCCAGTTGAACATCAGAGAAGGCTTTTGGTTTGTGTGGTGCCCCAGCCACATTTGCCAGAGCAATGGACTTAGTCCTGAGAGGTTTGACATGGAAGACAGTCCTGGCATTTCTCGATGATATCATCGTGCTTGGACGCAATTTTGGAGGACCATCACTCAAACTTGCGTTGAGGCTCTTTCGAGAAATTTCGGAGGCCATAAGCTAAAGCTTAAGCGAAGGTATGTATCTTCTTCAAACAAGAAGTAGAGTTTTAGGCCGTTTAAAGTCGGCAAAGACAGCACCATTGGTATGGACAGAGCATTGACATAGCAGTGGTGAAGGATTGGCCTGTTCCAAAACAGTGCCAAAGCAGGTAGAGAGGTTTATGGGGGGGGGGTAAACTATCATAGATGTTTTGTTAAGGACTTCTCTAGGGTAGCCCATTGTACGCGGCCGATCACAGGCAAAGCCAACTTTGTCTGGGGCGAAAAACAAAGCAGAGTCATTCAGGACTTTGAAGTGCTTTGTTGACGCAAAACCTCCGGGTTTAGCGTTGCCAAATCAACAGTACGAGTTTAAATCTTGGAAAACGGTTCTGCTTCCAATGTTCGATTGGAGCAGAGCTCTTGCAGGTTGCAAGAGGGCCAAGAGAAAGTTGTTGCATTTGGTAGCTGTGCTCTTACCAAGGAGCAACAGGGTTATTGCAGACAGGAAAGAGCTGCTAGCAGTAGTTCGGTTCACCAAACAGTTCCGACACTACTTGCTAGAAGACCATTTGTGGTCAGGACTGACCATTCGAGTCTGAGGTGGTTGATGAATTTCAGAGAGCCACAAGGGCAACTAGGGAGATGGGCTGGAAGAGCTGTCCCAGTTTAAACATGGTGTTGAGGACATCGTGTGAGTCGCGAGCATTCCAATGCTGACGCAATGTCAAAAATTACCACTGCAAAGTGGGACATGCGAGTGGTAATTGCTGGTGCGCGGCTGGAATCAGTTTGCCTTGTGGTGGATGTGAAG